CTGGTCTCCACTTGGACATTGATCCACTGACTGCCACATTTTGAGTGTAACCATCCAGCCAATTCCTTATCCACCAAGTGGTCCATCAATCAAATCCATGTCTCTCCAGCTTAAAGACAAGAATGTTGTGTGGGACAGCATGAAATGCTTTGCACAACTCCAGGTAGATGATGTCAATTGCTCTTCCCTCATCCACCAACACTAACCCTGTTGCAGAAGGCCACTAAATTTGATGTCATGATTTGGCCTTAGTAAAGATAAGTTGGCTGTCACCAAGCACCCCTCTGTTTTCCGTGTACATTAGCATAGCTTTCAGAAGGATCCACTCCATGATCTTGCCAGGCACAGAGGTGAGACTGATTGGTCTGTAATTCCTCAGGTCTTTTTTTATTTCCCTTTTTAAAAACAGGGGTTATGATTCTCCTTTTCCAGTCAGTGGCAACTTCATCAGACTGCCACAACTTCTCAAGCATGATGGACAGTGGCTTAGCCACTTCTTCCGACAGTTCCCCTAGGACCCATGGATATATCTCCTCAGGTACTGTGGACTTGTGCACCTTCAGGTTTCTTAGATGGTCTCAGACCTGATGCTCTCCTACAGTGGGTGGTTCATCGTTCTCCCAGTCCCTGCCTTTGCTGTTTGCAATTTGGTTGGTGTGGCTGGAGCATTTATTTGCTTGTGAAGACTGAGGTAAAAAAGCCATTGAGTACACCAGCCTTCTCCTGGGCACCATGGTTACCCATGTGCTGGGTAACCAGGTCTCCCATTTCCTTCCAGAGAGGATCCACAGTTTTCCACTTATCTTTCTTTTATCACCAACATACCTATAGAAGCTTTTCTTGTTGCCCTTGATGTCCCTGGCCAGATTTAATCCTATTAGGGCTTTAGCTTTCCTCACTTGATTCTTGTGTGCTTGGATAATCCCTCAATTCCTCCCTGGCTACCTGTCCTTACTTCCACCTTCTGCAGGCATCCTTTTTGTGTTTGAGTTTGTCTAGGAGTTCCTTGTTCATCCAAGCAGGCCTCCTGGCAATTTTGCATCATTTCCTCTTCATCAAGCTGCATTGCTCCAGAGCTTGGAGGACCAGCTTTCTGGAGTCAGCCATCCCTCCAGGGCTTTATCCCATGGCAGTCTATCAAGCAGATCCCTGAAGAGGCCAAAATCTGGTACCCTGAATTCCAAGATAGTGAGCTTGCTGTGCACCCTCCTTGGTGCCCTAAGAATCTCATACTCCACCATTTCATGGTTGCTGCAGCCTAGACTGCCCTTGAGCTTCACATTCTCCACCAACCCCTTCTTGCTGAGAACAAGGTTCAGTATAGCATCTTTGCTCCTTGGCGCTTCTATCACTTGGAACAGGAAGTTATCATCAACTCATTCCAGGAACCTTCTGGATTGCCCGTGAACTGTTGTGTTGCCTCTCCAACAGGTACTGGAGTGGTTGAAGTCCCCCATGAGGACCAGAGCTTGTGAATGCAGGCTGCTCCTATGTGTCTGTAGAAGGCCTCATCTACTTGGTTTTCCTGGTCAGGTAGCCTGTAGTATACCCCCACTATAAAGTCACCTGTCCCTAGCCTGCCTTTAATCTTGACTCAGCCTCTCAGTCAGCACCTCATCCATCCCCAGGTAAAGTTCCATGCACTCCAGATGGTCACTGACATAGAGGGTGATGCCCACCACCCCCAACCCTTCCCCACTGACTGCAGTCTGTCTTTCCATTCCAGCATTCCATTCATAGGAGCCAGCCTACCATGTCTCCTTGATACCAGTAACATCACAGCCCTGCAAGTATGTGCATGTCTCTAACTCTTCTTGTTTATTCCCCATGCTATGTGCCTTTGCACAGAGGCATTAAGTTGGGCCTCCATTGGAGTGTTAGGAATTCCTTAAGGTGTTCTCCTGTTGACCCGTAATCCCTCCTCAGTCTCTGGACATCTCTTGCTGGTACTGGCATCAAACGTAGGTGTGGGAAGGACTGAGGTTCCCCTCCCCCACCAACTTTAGCTTAAAGCCCTCCTCCCCAGATTGGTAAGCCTATGACCAAAAATCTTTTTTCCCTTATCTGACTGATGGACCCCATCATCCCCATTAGACCCCCAGGTTTCTCAAAGCTTGCTTACTTCCCGTTTTCACTCCTAAAGCAACATCAAAGCAGATGAGCAAACACCAAGTTAAGGAACAGAGAAAGTTTTGGTCTTCCATTCCTTTTTTATGTGGCAAGGCTCCAATTTGCTGCTGAAGGTACAAAGTAGAACTAGGATCAAGCTCTACTCTCAGCACAGCTCTTATTTCATGGCACCAAAGTACTTTGCAAACACTGTTAAATTCAGGCTCACAAGACTGATGGGAAGTAGAGAATAAAATAATTTCTCTTTCTCTTTGCTTGTGCATGCGCAAACATTTGCTTTTGTTGTAGTAAACTGCCTTATCGCACCTTATGAGTTGTTTTCCATTTTATTTTCTCTCCACTGTTCAGCTGGGAATGGGGAGTGATAGAGAGGGTTTGGGGGCACCTGGTATCTGGCCAAGGTCAACCCACCACAGTATGCATTAAATGTCTTCTGGGAGCTGTCATGGTGCTGTCTTGTCTGTCTGTTAGCTGCAGGGAAGGAGAGATATGCTTCTTCATTTTCCCTAAATTAACCAATTGTATGTGTGGGTTTTCTCCCTCAGGAAACCCTGTGGGGTCAGTGACTGTCAGTTTCCTTTTTTTGTCTCCCCATAAAACAACTCCATGAAAAACTCAGGAATCTGTCAAATTAACATTGGGATGGAGATGAAAAAATGACATGCAGCATTTTAAATTAGAGCTCCCTCTCTGACTGAAGAAAAGACAAGCCATGCAACTCCCAAGTGAGAAGGAAACCCTGTTTGACTTATCTGCTTAATTTGATTTCATAACTGCTGCACTGGGTTGCAAAAGGCTGATAAAATCTATTTTAAACATAGAGCATAAGTCCTGCAGACTAATACTATGATTCATCTACTGTCTACTTCCCCAATTATTCTCCCTTCTGAAAGTTATCTTGATAAATCATTTGTGTTCCCATTTATTAAAGCATGTGGCAGTCTGTTTATTTAATCATCTCTTGGCCCATTTTCTAATTAAGGGAGATAATGCGGGCTCATTTCCTGCCATGGCCACAGGTTATCCGCAACTACCACATTAAAATTCAAGACTTTTTGTAATGTCTGCTTTGGCTGGCAACTCCTTCCCTTCTCTCTGGTCAGCTGAAGAGAAGAATATAGATATGGGGTTTTTTTCTGCATTTCCATATTGCTGACACCCATCCAAATCAAGGACAGGAAGAAGGAAGCAGGTGGAACATTCTTCTGGGAGACTGTGCATCTCAACAAAGTTAATAATACTGCATCATATGATGATCCCAAGAATAGTTTTGTGAACAGAGAGAATGCTGGAATGCATAGGGAAAGCATACACAAGGTGGAGCACTTTCCTAGCTTGCTCTGCTCCTGGACTCAGACCACCTCCTGCAACACTCTGGACCCAATCCTTCATCTGTCATCTTAATGCAGGACTATTGCTAACCAGCAGCTGCAGCATTAAATCACTTTTGTGCTCGCTGTATTCCAAAGCATGGCCTTAAAATCACCTCTATTCCTACCTCAGAGATACCCTGCTTTGTATCTTGCTTGTGACACAACCTCAGCATTTAACAGCTACAGCTAACCTAGAATCCCTAGTCTGGCAGGGAAATCCTCTTTTGCAGGGCCATCTTCTGTCTTTTAGGATACATTTAGATGGCATATGAAATTCTCATAGGTAGAAAGATACTACAGATACATTTAAAGTTATCAGTACACGCCACATGAAGTGCCTTTCAGTGGGCCTTGTGAACTGTCGAAAACAGGATGATCCACTTTGTCTCACTTCACAGGCTCTCCTTCAGTCAGCATAAGTACATACACAAACCACACCTGCAACAGCCCTAATTCCTGCAGAAACGCTGGCAAATATCACTTTGCCACACTTTCAGAATTGTTTCATATCAACTAGACTACAGAAATCCTTGAAATGTGCCTTTACATGAAACAGCTGAAAACGTGATGTGGTCCAAGCATAGCCCTTTCTAGGTGACACTGCTTTAAGCAGGGATTTGTACTACATGACAGCCATAGGTGCCTGGCAACCTCAGCCATTCTGAGATGCTGTGCAAAAAAAAGTAAATAATCCCAGTGGTTCACTTCATAATAAGGTGTATGACAGTATTTTCCCAAGTCTGACCTATGGAGAAATGCCTCCCTGATCCCTTTTGAAGTTGGCTAAATGCCCACAGTGAGGATATGAGCATAAACCGCTTTCTGAATTGTGTCTTACTTTTCCTTCTCTGCTTATACTTTTGTTTTATTTGCATTTGGAAGTAATAGTAAAAGAATTTCCATGTCTAGGGCCTTACTTTTTAAAACAATGAATTTAATTTTAATCTATTTTAGTCCACAAAGAAGTGTCTAGTTTTGTTACACTGTTAATTATCTGAACCTCTGTCTTACCTCATCTACCTCAGATTCAGAGTGTGCTCTGGACCTAGTATACTCAATACCTTCAAAAACACCTACTTAAAGATTAAAAACCCCTCACAATTCACCTTTATATAGATAACTGTTCCCTTCACATGCATTCAAGTGACTTCTATGAGTGCCATACTGTTACTGACCAATGAAAACCGACAAAATAAAAATCTATATTAAATATATCATACAGGAAAAAGCAAAGACAAATGAACTTCT